AAGTTGCTGCTGCTGGTGCTGCCGCTGGCGTTGCATCTTCAAGGGAATCAGGACTTTATTTATGGATATTATATATTTTATGGCGGATGCCCCTTTTCGTGCCTTTCCTTAGCTGCACCAATTCCCAGTCGCAAGCACTTTGCTTCCATAAAATGGCTTTCCTGGGCTTATCTTGTTATACATTTTTGTTGTTTTCAAACTACTAAGCTACAACAACGATACCAACAACGAGCACTATATATTTTACTGCTGGCAACAAACTTTTGTCAGCCAGTGTATAAACTCGCTGCTTGTGTGCGTATATGTGTTGCAAATAATTTGCAATCAAAACTTGCCGGCTACGAAATTTCCCAGGGAGTGTGTGCGCAGGTTTGGGGGCGTGTTGTCAGCCTCCAGCTATTTATCTTCCTCCCCATCTGTGCTCCACATTTGAGCCATTCAAATTTCGAGTAAAATTATAAAATAAGCTGAAAAGACACCAGCAACGGGCCAAGCAAACTTTGCCGAATATCTCCCAATTTGTTTCCTTGGCAATTAAAATATTAGTTTTGAGCGCCGCTTATGGGGAGCTTTGGCCAACACAAATAAACTTTAATTAAATGCAAAATGGCGACAGGCGCTAATTATCCGCAGTACTCCCGCGATTGTCTTGTTTAAGAAAGAAAATCGTACAAAGAAAATAAATAAGCCAGAGGGAGGAGAGCAGAGAAACAAGCTTAAACAATGGCTGGAAGCTGAGCCAAAGCCAAGAAGAAACAAAAACAAACCAAGGCTAAAACAAAAAAACAAAAAACGGCAAGACTGTGAAGAGATTAAAACCTCGACCAGGCTTAATTGAGCGGAGCAGAGGAGAAGAAGTACAGCCGGGGTGGTCCAGCAGGGGCGGCAAAGCAATCCACATCGCGTATACGCGATGTTTGCCCGACGCGTGAGCTAAATGCCAAGCCAGAAAGGCAACCGAAAGGAAAAATAAGCAAGAAACACAAAACGCTTTTAAAATTCTGATGCAGTGGCAAGGCACAGAAATGCAGCATCGCGACAGAGATAGGGATACAGATGGAGAAAGGCGAGTAATTTGGAATTCTTGTTCATCCTTTCACCGACTTCTGTTCACATTTTGTATGCAAAATGCAAAATGCGCCAAAGCAAGAACATCAATGGCCAAGAATAGGAACAACAAAGCAGCCAGCTACATTGAAGCAACAAAAGTCAAGCCACATGCATTCATTCATTTGGTTTACTCATTTAGTTTCAGTTCTTTTCTCTCATTGGGCCATTCTTCTCCATGTTCGAGACTACAATGAAAGTTAAGATTACAGAGAGAGAAACGCTGACAAAGTTAATTGAAGCAATTTATTTCTATTTCGGCAATAGCTCTGACTTCTGCCAACCGTCTCCGTCTGGTTAGAAACATTTAACAAGTCAGAAATGAGACACGTTTTGTTTTAAGCGTACTTTTCAGTCACTGTTGCGGCACACTTCAACATTTGCCTCGGATGCTGTTGCAGTTGCTACCATTATTGTTATTATTGTTGTGGCGCTGCCGAGAGCAAAGAAAGGAGCAGAGAAAGCAAAGAAAAGCTAAGCAAACACAAGTAGCTGGCAACAATAACAAGAGCAGCAGCAACAAAACAACAATAACAAAATGTAACATAAACTTTTAGCTGCTGGCATTTCAGTTGACTAAATGCTCGACTTAATTGGCCAACAGTCGAGAGTGGCCCCGAAGAGGTGAATAAGGCAGAAAGGAAATATGAGCCATTGAATAATATACATTAAACTATTGAAAAGACTCTATGAGGGCCGTATTTGCCGAGAGTAATAATGTATAATAAAATCAAATAACAATAAATCCCCATCCATCAATTGCACATCAGTCTCGCTTTTCCACATTCGCCATCAGCTATTTGCATACATCAATTGCAGTTTAATTGCCAACTATTTATAGAAAATATAAATTGCTTGCCACGCTGCAGCTAGCTTTGTGAAAATGCCGCCAAACGATAAAAATCAGCAACAAATCAGCTTAAAAGTTGATCAAAAGCCTCTATCGTTTATGGGTGAGCAACATGGAAATATGCAAATGCTGTAAGGCTAAATAGCTTCAGTGTTCAGGTGATTGGAGGCTACTTGGGCCAAGCAAATAGTTTGGTTTTATATGCCATTGCCACGCCCACATAACAAGTGAATGGGCGTAAGTGACTGGCTAGCTGGTTGACTATATAGAATGTATATGCATATGTTTGTATCGCTGTCATGCTTAATTATTGTAACTCAACACTTGACTGCCGAGTGATTTATAAACGTTGTTATTTGCACTGTTTATGCTACCCAAACTTGAATGCTGAAAGACAAGGTCAACTGGTTCACTGCACCGGCAGCACTTCATAGACCACAAAATCCCTATGGCCCACCCCTCGTATACGCAATGTCTGGAGAATGCACTTCGAGTAAATCACCCAAGTTGCTACATGTATTTGCGGCTAGTCGGGAAGGACAACAAATGGAATCGAGCATAATTATAAACAAAGTTTGGCTAAGGAATACCAACTGAAAAAGGGAAGAGGGGAGGGGCGTTGCGGCAAATGAGAGGGCGATATAACCAGAGGGGGGTCCAAGGGGCAGCCAGAACTTTAACTTCTTGGCAACAAACAGCAAACCACAAATAGCAAACACAAACACACAGAGAGTCAGACAAAGGAAGGGGCGGGGTGGTGCATGTTTAGCAAGCCAAAATCAGAGCCAAGTTGCAAGGTTGACCAACAGACAAGAGCAACAACAGCTATTTCCACAACAACAATATTGCTGCATTTAAATGGATTTTGGCAACGAGAGCTAGACAAGCCCGCAAAGAGCAGAAACAACAAGAACTATCAGATACAGATACAGTACTGGTACACCCACGGCATCCAAATCAGTTTCAAAAACAAAAGACACTGAAAAATCGAGGCTTAAATCTGTAAATTCTATTTTGGTTTCTCTATGTGATTAAATCGTGTAACACTTCTGAGTTTTTCTGAGTGTTGTTTTTATTGTGACGCTTGTTGCGAAGTTGCGAGTTGGCCGCCGGAGTTGGAGTTGCAATTGCAGTTGAAGTTGCCAAAATACTAAATGTCTATCCGCAATGCCCACAAGCCAAAATTCCACACCCACAGCGACATGGCAAAGATAAGGAACTGGCTTCAGGAAGGAGTAAAGGGAAAACCCCAAAAAAATAAACCCTCAAGTCAAGGCAAAAGGATAATAATAATTTAAAACTTGAACCTTTACTCACCTCAAGTTGATTCACACTTTTTGGGGCATTTAATAATTGCATTTCAATTGCCATTAGCTGGAAAGCCTTTTAACAAAGCCACCGTCTTGCGCTCTTTCTCTAATTAGCCTGCTCGTTGGCTGGCTGCCTTTTCCACCTGCAGACTCATTATTGCCTTCAATTAGCCAAGTCCGTGCGGCAGCAACCGCTTACTGCATAAAAATTAATTTAAATTGCTATTTAACTGACCATGCCAAGTCTCTGGCCCAGCCAAGCCCTCGTCGCTTTTCCACCTTTTCAGTTTTCCACATTTATTTGTTATTTTTTGGAGGAGTTTTGAGGATTGGCGAGGCCGGACTTTTGCTAATTAATTTGAGAAAATGTCTGTGATGGGGGAAGCTCTAAAATGGTTGATGCTTCTTATCCGGATTCTGCTGCACTTGAGTCTCGACAGGAATAAAAGATTTTCCCGTGTCGTATGACACCTATCACGCTAGGTCGTGCGTGGCATGTTGCAAACTTGTACCGCTATTTTTATACAACCAAATTCAAAGCACACAAGGGCAGAGTTTGCAGTAGATAACGACAGCACCGGCAAAAAAGAAGGTAGATGGCATTGATAGAACACGTTTCAATTTTGAACCCCAGCCCGGGAGTCAGAGCTCTGCTGGGAGGGTAGAAAAAAAATTAAACAAAGTGAAATGGTAAAAAAAAAGATTTACTTTATTTTCCGTGGTGTTGTGTATGCAATATAGAGAAACTGTTTACATGAGCAGGAATTTAAACTTTCAAAGAGCCATATTGTTAAAATAAAACAGATGTGGCAGACATAATAGAAAATTAATTTATTAGGCAACAAGCTATTAATTTACATTAAATCTGAAACAGACTAAGCCCCACTTAAAAAAACGATAAATAGTTAAATGGCAGTCAGCTCTTTAGTTTAAAGTTCCATTACCAAAACGTTTCTAATTACCTTAGCCAGCCAAAAAGCCATTTGAAAAATAATAAGCAGCTGCAGTGGAAAAGCGAATGTTCTTTAATCGCAGTCAGTTTAGCTTCTGAGTAATATTTTCTATTTCACCCCTGAGCTAATGAAGATGTGCAGGGCTTCTGCACACACATATGTATATGTATGTACCTTGCCTCACTCGCAACAAAGTATATTTACCCTCTCAGCATATAATAATACACGCCCGAAAAAAGAGCGAAAATGAAATGAAAAAGCGAGAACACACATCGCTCAAAAGTAACTCTTGCCACCTCAACTCAAACATTCTCGCCTAGGTGTTAAAAATAAAAAGCTGCCAGAGCTAGGGACTCATTTAGTCCCTGCAGCACACCATCACATGTCCCCCGTTACCTGGCCCCTTATACGCCCGAGACCCAGCTCCAGGTTCAGCTCCACCCGCCCCCAGTAGAGTCACGTCTCTGGCGTTGTCATAATGAATTCAGCGTTTATGGCGCTTATTCCATTTGGTTTCATTATCAGCATGTACATGTGACCCCACTCCCACTCGCCTCAGCCTTTCTAGTGCGTGAACTTTTTGGTTAAAGAGGGAAAGGGAGGACTAGGACGAGGACACATGTTGGAGCAACATTTGAAGTTGAAAATTGAGGCTGTAAGGTTGTATTTGTGTTTGCAGAGTAACGTGACGGGTTCAACTTAATTACGTAATCATAGGAAATTGGTTTTTGTGAACTGGCAATCATCTACAAATCCGCTTTCTATCTTTCCGTTTTTCAGGTCCGGACACTTTTTGTCAGCGGTTTGCCGATGGATGCCAAGCCGCGTGAGCTGTACTTGTTATTCAGAGCCTATGAGGTGAGTTTAAAAATGATTAATGGCCTTAGAAAGTGTATATTATATTTGAATAAATTCTTCCTTAACAGGGCTACGAAGGATCTCTTTTAAAAGTAACTAGCAAAAATGGCAAAACTGCATCGGTATGTAAAAGCCTGTTTTTTCTCCTCCTCTGAAACATTTTTTAATTAAATGTATTTTTTTGCAGCCCGTTGGCTTTGTGACATTCCATACCAGAGCTGGAGCTGAGGCTGCCAAACAGGATTTGCAGGTAATTATTAAACACAGCGTATAACTATGCATTTTACCAAATTGTATAATCGAAAGAACACCGAAACTATACATTTTAGCAATTTTTTGTGCAATTCAACCAAAGAAAATCCCAAAAATCTATTCTCAGCGACTGCATTAAAAAACCAGTACACCTTTGATATAAAAATTGTAAAGCACCTAAACGAATATCGAAGGCAATATAAAAAAAACTATACTTGTATACTCGTATCGCCTGGCTTAAATACCGTTAGGTCCCCGATGCCGCTGCTCAAAACAAGGAGCTCTAAGCTCATTGCAACACCTCACAATGAAACAACTACTACGGCAAATAAAAAATCGTACAAAACCTAAGATCCACAAAACACATGCTTGCATTTGAAAAAATACCTTTATATTCCACCCAATCGCATTAAGTGTTTCCCTCTCTGTCTAGCTCTCGCTGTTCTGCCCATTCTTCTATACCTCTTTCTCTCTCTATCTATATCTCTGTGCCCCATAGAGCTGTCTATCTATCTTTTTGTTTTACCGTTTATGCATCTACTGTCCATATTATTTGCTCATTCTACAAGACTCTATGACACGCGAAGAACACGAAAAACACACACTCGTAAACTGGAACACTCATCACACTCACAAACAACACTCCCACACCCCCATCTCTGGCAAACAATAAAAAGAAAACTCTGCAATGGCAAAAGCAAAGAGCAAGCCACCCCGCCCCACTGGAAGAGCACCATAACGTTCTAGCAATGACTAGTTAAAATCCTTCGAGCTTTTCATAACCCATAGAACCTCTGGTCGTTAGAACCTCCCCAAAAAACATTATTTTATTTTTTTTAATAATTAAGTAAACTCCCATGATTACGAAGGAATTTTACAATTCTGGGTCCTGGTGGTATACCTTTAAGACATATAGTAACACAGATACTCTTCATTCGGATGAGACATCATTAAATTTCAACCAATCCTATTTTAGATCTTACTTAATTACCAAGCCCCACAGTCAAGAACTCCCACAATCCCCATATCATACTTCGATTACAGCGCAGGCACCATAGCAATAACCGTTGAATGTCTCCCGCCCCCACTCTCCAGCAAATCAAATAGCTATCTTTCTAAAGTTTATGAATTGTACCACGATTTCTTAAATTATTACCACCACGCGACATTCAAAATTATTTTTGGCGAATTGTTGCAAAAGATAAAGTTGACAAAACGAAACGACATGAAAAGTCCCTCCGATACCTTTGCTAAATTATGAAATTACATAACAAAAACAATAGAAAATACAAACCGCTGTATTTTGATCTGATCATTTACAGCAGGGTGTACGCTTCGATCCCGATATGCCCCAAACAATTCGCTTGGAATTCGCCAAGAGTAACACGAAAGTGAGCAAACCCAAACCACAGCCCAATACAGCGACAACAGCCTCACATCCTGCATTGATGCACCCACTCACTGGACGTAAGTAAAAGATAAAAAAAAAAAAATCTAAAAAGAAAAAGAAACCAAAATGAGAACTCGGCAGCTGCTAATTTCTATGATTTTGTTTGACTTTTCTTTTTGTGTATGTAGTTGATATTTATATAAAAACCAAAACTATGTTTAAGGGTACAAGAGCTCCTAATCGAAGGCGTTGAAAAAACTTACGCTGAGCACCTCCTAACTTTCAACACATAAACACACACACACCTTACACCAAACTATCCAACAGTTGAGCAGTTGAAAATATTGAATATTGAAAACAAATCCAACCAAACTTGCTTCAAGTGCACACAATAAACTATATCGTAAATATATATTTTGTATGCCATATCTACCATACCGAGTTGTTATCTTTTCAAACTTGATTCGCTGTCAAGTTTTAAATATATATACCTTCCCAACTAGGTAACAGCAATAACAAAATCAAAAACTATATATAACGTAATGCACCTTAATCACTCGTAACACTTTGTGCAACTCCCACACACGCTCCAACACACAAATTCCATAAGCAGATATGAAATCAAAAAGCCAAAGCTGCTGAAATTATAAATTATATTTTCCTCTATTTGAATCTCTCCACATAAACCCAAACAGTTATAATTTCAGAAAAAATATTAAAGCCGGCAAAGAATTTTTTTAAGGCAATCCAACTTAATGATAAACAAAAGACTCAGAAAACAAACTCTTTTTCTGAATTTTTCTTGAAATTAGTATTTTTTTCTTACAATTTTGTTTTTTTTTATGTTAACTAAACCTGTGTTTTATAATCATATAAATAATATCTAATACATCCTTTCATTTGACTAAACCAAATGTTTTTCTTCTTGACCCTCAGATTTGGGTGGGCCATTCTTTCCGGGCGGACCAGAGCTTTGGCATCATCCGTTAGCTTACTCGGCAGCCGCCGCCGCCGAGTTGCCCGGAGCTGCTGCCTTGCAGCATGCCACCCTAGTGCATCCAGCCCTGCATCCGCAGGTGCCAGTGCGCTCCTATCTCTGACTAAATACAGACAAAGTAATGGAGCAGCCAATGCATCAAGTAAGTAACAAGTCTATTTAAACTTTCAAAGGATAGTTTTTGAACCCTGATGCTAATCCGATTTTAAAATATGCTGAGCTTCAAAGTACTGACAATATATTCCCCCAAATTTCAGACTCAAATGACAATGCCGCCACATCATCAGACCACTGCTACTGCTATTCATCCGGGAGCTGCGATGGCTCACATGGCTGCCGCTGCAGCAGCTGTTGCGGCCGGTGGGGGAGGATGTGCTGCCACCGCAGCCGCCGCCCCTCAGGCCGCTGCTGCAACCGTGGCGGGTAATGCGGCTGCTGCCGCTGCCGCAGCCGCTGCTGTCGGCTCGCACCACCACTTTCTGTCCAGCCCGGCCCTCGCCAGCCCCGCTGGATCCACCAACAACGCCAGCCACCCGGCCAACCCACAGATCGCAGCTAATGCTCCCTGCTCCACGCTGTTTGTGGCCAACCTGGGACAATTTGTGTCCGAGCACGAGCTGAAGGAAGTCTTTTCTAGGTAATTTCTTTAAACATGACTTGCTTAAACAGGAGGTTCCTTTTATCGATCACACACAATGAAAACAGCACTAAGATCACAGAAAACCACCACCACCACCCCCAGTAAAACCATTCAGCCACAACAGGCAATAAAACCACCATAACATTCACTCTTGATAGCACTTTGTAAACTCTTTTAACCAAAAATACTAACCGAAAACTTTTGCGTTCTCTTCCTTGGTTCGTTTGTTGCCCACCATCCCACCCGATCACTCTTCTTGTATGATACATGATAACCGACATATATATCTAAAAAAATTATATATATTTATATAATATCCAAATACGATATATAATATGCACAGTATGCCTGGCTTTTGTCGCCTACGAATGCACACAAAAGGTACGCACCCATTCACAACTTCTATGCCTCTGACTTTGTCTTCAACTCTGACCTCTTCAAAACCTTCAACTTCAACTTCCTACTTCACAAATGCCCCTGAATCGTCATCGCAAGCAGCCATGGCAGCAGCAACTGGCTCAAGCTGCTCCACCAGTAACGGGAGCGGTGCAGGAGGTGCGTCGCCCCAACATCCGGTGGCGTTCATCGAGTTCAAGGATCCACCGAGTGCGTCGCAGGCCATGCAGCAATTGCAGGGCAAATACTTACTCAGTTCGGACCGCGGCTCCATTCGCATCGAGTTTGCCCGCAGCAAGATGATCAATGAGGTGGCTATGATGAACATGACCCACAAGCCACCACCACCACCGCCTCCAGTCGCCGCCACTTCCGTGGCGACTGCAACTGCACCGCCAACTGCAACACCTTTGTACATCCTTAACGGGGGCGGTGGGGTAGAGCAACTGCTCGTCACTGCACCACCGTCACAGCAGCAGCTTCAGATGCAGCAACTGCAACAGCAACTGCAACTACACCAGCACCAGCAGCAGCAACTACAACTGACAGTGGCAGCACCCTGCACCACAGCAAGCACCACCACCAACAGCACCACCACTAGCGTTGTTGTTAACTCACTACAGCACCACCAACTTCATCATCCAAATCAGCACCACCAAAATCATCTCTTTAGAGACGTATGTATTATTCTGGGTGAACCAAATGAACCAACTTACTTCTAAGTCTGTGTACCGTACAGTAATCTAACCCTATAAGAACCCCCTAACGTCACACCGCTTACCATTATCATTAGTTGCTCCACTAACTGCACACACTCTTTAGCCCATAAATATTAGAATAAGCCATTCAATCCGCAAAAAGGTTTTCCTCGAACCCAAAATCCCTCATATGCACGACCCGAAGAACACTCCCATATGGAGGAGGGAGAGCCCCAAAAAATATAAAAACGAACCCCATTAACTATTTATAAAATTTTGCAAATTGTTATTGTTAAGCCCGCTCGTTTACTTTGCATGCAAACCACCATCACCACCAACAACAACTACACCACTTCCACAACAACAACAACAACAGCAGCAACATGAGCAGCAAGCAACAACCAAGCAGCAATCAGCAACAACAAGTAAGAACATACCTAGGGGATGCCCAAAAAATAAATAAAACCATTTCCACACATATGTGTGAGGGACCTTAGACCACTCACCCCCATACACAAGCTAGTCATAACCATAACAATTGCAGCCGCATTTAAATACAAATTATAACACACAAAAAGTTAGCAACCATAACAAGTTACGGCCGCCATAGAAAAAGGTGCTTCTAGAGGTGAAGTTTCACTTAGCAGAAAAAATTGAGGAGGGGGCAAGCTAGCCATCCACTATTTAAATGCCAGCTTCCGGCGCGTTGGTGGAACTTTCTGCCCCACCCCGGGTATTAAGCACCACTATATCTCACTTTCACATGAGTGTGTGTGAGCACTGAGCAGAGTGATTCACGTTTTCCAAATGCTAAGAGGCCACATAAATTTATTTTTCAATTTGCTGCAAGAAAATGCAGCAGCAGCAGCATACACTTAATAAAAAATTCAAAAAATTAACTCTGCATGCCACACCCATGTAGCCACACACTCATAACCAACTTGACGTCCCCAACAGCTTATCCACGGCAGCAAAAAATGGAAAAATTATTTAAAAATTCAAGCATTAAAGTATTTTTTCCAAGGCATGAACATTTCTTGGGTTTTTTTAGGTAGATTGCTTGCTTGAATATCGATTTAAATGGTAAAATGGTAAGATTATCAAGGAAGTAGTTGTTCATTTCAAAAGGAAGATTTTTGCCTAATGCCTAGCTTCAAAGTATAGTTCACTTAATACCGTTTAATTTTAACTTAGTTTAAAACTTTAATAAATGAAATTTAAGATAAAATCTCAAAGCTATTTTAAGCCTAATAAAAAAAACTTAAACGCATGCTTAGAGTCCATAAGTCACAAAAAATCAGCATGACCACCAAGCACCACCAAAGACTGTAGCTTAGCTAGGATTTTCGAAACTATTTTACAATTATTTAAAATTATTTTCAGAGGAGCGGGTATGGAATCACGGCATGATTTGCTCGCTAAGAAGCTAGAGCGGGAAATGCAGCAGCAGACGCAAGTGCACCACTCGACGCATCAGCAACAGCCACAACAGCAGCAACATCACCATGCTTCGACGCAACAACATTACCACCATAGCCACCCAGCAGCGCACCACCACCTCCAGCAGCAGCACCAGAATACACCACAGCAACAGCAGCAGCACCTGAGCCACCACCTGAGCCACCATCATCAGCACCACCATCAGCAGCAACAGTTCTTGATGACGCCGACAGTAACCTGACCCGGCGGCAATGCGAGCCACCATTATGCGACGCCGCATCACCACCACCTGCAGCACCACCAGCCGCACCACCAGCAGCAGCAACAGCCGCAGCCGATGCAGCCGCACCACCACATCTACTCGTACGTGCTGCCCGCGGTCAGTCACATAGCGGCCTAATAAGATCACATTTGGGTTTGAGTCGCAGAAAGGGCGAAACGCTCCGCATGCAACGGATTCATGCGAGGAGTTAGTTATAGAAGACAAAAAACTAAAAAAAATACAAAAAAAAAAACAAAAAAGTAAAAAATGAAAAAATAATGTTAATTTATACATGTGAAAGAAAATAACAGATCCCGTAACCCAGTTTAGTGAAATTTTTCGACAGGCAACAACAAAAGATTGTAGTAGAAACCAAAAATAAGACAATGGGAAAAACTTGTAGTAAAATATACAATTCACGATAGAACGGAAGCTGAGCGAACTACTTAACTAAGTTAGTTGCAAGACAGCAGTTATGCCCCTATTAACGAATACATATATATACACAGTCTATATATAAATATATATATATATTGGAAGCTGATTAGAATTTGTTGGTCAATTCATTCCCGTTTGATATTTGTTTTAGCTTGACAATTTATTTAGTTTCGACGTTTATGCTTGAGTTTCATCTGTTTTAAAGCTCCCCATCCTAATACCCAACCTTACAAATGGAATTGAAAACATTGAATTCATATTCGTTTCGATCCCTCTGTTTCTAATTTTCTGAGTATTAAGTTATGAGATGGGAATAAAATATTAAAAAGTATATGTAAAGTGAAAATTAAGTAAATGGAAAAGGAAAATATATAATTATAGCTTAACCGAATGTGCCCTTTAAATAGCTCTCTTTCTAGAATTATGAAGAATACGAAACAAAACCAAAAATATTTAAATATATGCATTAATGTAATAATTGTATAACTAGTATTGTAATTTTCAAAATGTTACTCAACAAGAAAATTTACCATCAACGATAACAACGAGTAGTCGAAGTCATCGTATAAATTGAAATTTATATTGAGGATTACTGAAAGCTGGTTTCGAAATTTATTTGTTAAAGCCGTAAGAAAAACAAAATTTAATCGTGAATTTGAAATTATTCGATAAGACCTATAGTCGACGTGAGATGAACGTTGCAGGTGCGCTCTCGTGAAGCAAAGACTCGACACAGAAAACAATTTTTAACAAACATAAAAAGCTAAACGAAACTTTAACAGAAACTGGCACAGGACACTCTAAACTTTCCGCCCAAAGAATATGTTTTCTTTCGCCATTTTTGTTTCGAATTTCTGCGTTCCCCCTTACAAAGACTTGAACTTTACTAGAGGGCCCCCAACCTAAAGGACTCCAAATAAATAATATTCCTAACTAACTTTCGAAATGCTAGAACAATCAAATCACATTTCTTGCTAAACCAACGATCGATTTAGTGGGGGAGGGGAGTGAAAGCAGAAGGTTCTTCCTAGAGGGATAAGAGATCAGTGTAGAAGAGAGGACATGTGCGGAGGACGACAGGTTGAACAAGGACGAGAGGATAAAATCAATTGCATATCATCTTACGTAGCAAGCATAAACCGAGTATGTATACCTAAAACGGGGAAACAAAACAATTTGAATTGTAACTAAACGCAAACAACAGAAATACCAAACTATAATAAATGTTAAAGAGCTAACTTAAAGGCTAACAAACTACAATATAGTTAATGTGAGAAAAATAATAAGCAGCTTTTTACAGGATAACGTTCTAACATTTTGTTTAAGAGTTCGTTCAGCCTTGTTTTAATCAATTTTAGAACATATACACGTATATGGATAAAATCTTTACATTTTACCAAAGTTGTCCTTACTAATTTAACAATTTACGTTTACAACTTTACCTACAATTTGTTAAACAAAAACACAGAATATGAAAAACTAAAAGACCCTTGAGTAAATCAGCTAATTTTAAATGTTTAAATCTAGTTTAAGGTAAATGTGACTAGACATACCAAAGGCATATTTGAAAAAAACACACAATTGTTAAGAAAAAATATGAAAAAATAAGCTGAGGAAAACCTATAATTAATTTGTAAAGTTTTAGCCTTTCTCTACACATTTTTTTCATTAAATATTTAATTATTTAATTTTCTTTCTTATTTTAGTCGAATATAAAATGCATATTCCGTCCAATTACATTTCTTGCTTTCCTCTTGCCCGAAATTTCATCTCTTCGCCAGCCTCGCGCCGGTTTGAGAATCATAATTCGAAGCTTAGAACAGAGGTCTACTTATAAGTCTGTAATCCTAACACACACACATACACAACACACACACTCACACACAAGACAAGTAAATTAGTTGAGGTCTTAGTCTGTAAGCAGGGAAAATGTTTAATTATATTGTACTAATGCATATCATAAAATTGCGCCTTCAAGAATACATTGAGAAGAAAAGCCCATGACGGTAAAAAAAAAATATTTACAACTACAACTAAGCATAATAAAAATAAAAGTTAATAGAAGCTAAAGTATGAAACAAATATTTTCGAAATTAATTTTTAGATCCTAAGTAAGAAGCGGCGAATACGCCAGGAAGTATGCAACCATAAAAGCAATGGAAATTTTAAAAGTTTAAAATGCAAAACGTGTGAGGATACTTTGTGTATGTGTGTGTATCTATAGGGAAAACTTGTGCAATTTTCATTCAAGGAAGACGGCAGAGAAAGTGAACCAGCGCGGTGGCAAGATTGTTCAGTCCCCACCCCCAAAAACCATTTTGAGGCTTGATTTCCAAAACATTCTTTAATCTAAATTTCATAGCTACATACTATACATACGTATATGTATACAGATTTTGCAAAATCTGAAGAAAGTAAACATTGAAACAAGATTTCAATACGAATATCTCAACAACAGCAGACGAAGCAGCAGAGGAAAATTTAGTTTGTAAAGATACATAAGAACTAAAGAAAGCAAAAATGAATGAATGACAGAAAACTAAACTAAACAATATGAATTATGGGAACATTATATGAATATATATACACACACATATATATTAAAACATTTTTGAAACAAAAACTAAACAACAATTACAAAGAAGAAAGCATAACAGATACATATCAGCAAATGGATAAAGAACAAAATGAGAAACTTTTACAAAAAAAATTATTAAGAAATAAAAATAAAACCGATATGTTTTGATGTGGTTTTTAAATTTTTAAATATTGTAAACGTAATAGGCAGAAAAGCGGCTACCAAAAAGGGGAAAGAAAGCATAACTGAATGAAAGCTTAGTTATAGATTATCGACCTACTTACTATATGCTAGCTGTATGCTTACATAGTAAAGGCATATCCACAACATTTGTACATTTGTGGAAGCAGTAATAGAAAGACAGTAAACAGTAAAATAACGATAAATGAGTAAAATAATGTTCTATTCTCTGGTATTTATTGTATTCGCTATGTTTCCCGTGTCGAAAGAGTTTCATTACGTATTTAATTAATTCTTTAATTTAAGTTCCCTTCCCAATTGATTGCCTTATGTTTGCCTAAAAATGAACTACAATTACAAACAATTCAATACTAATTTCTAAGTTATTTATATGTATATGTATCGTATACCTCTATTATAAACCCCAATATCAATATGCTTATATAATTTTGTAGCCTTAACTTAGAACTTTTCAATTGACGGTATTAATTATACATAATAAACATTTATATTTTGTTCGTTAAATAAACGCATTATTGTTTCATTCAAACTCACTCAACACACACATACGAGATAAACCCAAACCTTTGAAGAAACGAATTTTGAATTAGTGAAAATTTTTGAAAGAAAATTAAAACCAACTATACAATTACATATATTATACTACATATACATATATGATTCTCTCCCCCACTTAAAGTTTTTGGGTCATTTGAGGGAGAGCCAACTAGAGGAGCATTACACTCAATTACAACTCGATATAGGCAGAGCGGATCTGCAGAAAGTTCGCTGTAAATTTGTAACACATAATACTATGCGTATCTATATACAGGCAGTATGTATAGTATATATAGGGAGTTAAGTAGGAAAGCAACTGATATTAAATATTAATAATATCATGGCAGAGAAATGGCAACATCAGCTGACAGATGGAGATAACACAAGTCAAAACATATCAAACTCGTGCCCGATTACAACTATATATACACATATATATACACTATATATACATATAAACGAAAAGCAGCCACAAATTATGCGCAGCAATTTTCGATGGTAAAGAAATGAAAATTATAAAGATATTGATAAAATTCTTAAGCAGAAACCACTCGAAACCAAGTCGAACTCGAGGTCGAACGGGAAATGCAACTTTTATTTGCATATCTCAAAGTTGAGTAAAATTTTATCAGTAAATAATACGAAGATAACGATTAATATTATTAAAAATATTAAAACTACAAACAATGGCAAATAATTGTCTATTTTGAGGCTCATTTATTTAGCATTTTTCAAAACCAAAATATGACTTTCTTTTTAAAAATCGAACAAATCTTTTGCTAATATTGTAAAAAACAAATTGATTTTTCAAAGCAAATGAAACAAAAAACATATAGCTAAATATTATTATAAAACTTACATAAAGCAGAAAAACTCGTATATATATAAATATAAATATCAGCCTTGTTCTTTATATATATATTGAAAACAAAACAAAAAAAAAGAAAACATACAAAATATTAATAAATTATTAACTACTATAAAAAAAAATGAATACAAAAACATAAAAAATATTTAGCGAAAATATTGTATTGTGAGTTTAAATGTATTGTTGCATACGAAACCAAAGACACAAAAATCGGTACAGTTAGGTTATATGTGAAACTATATGGCAATACCAACCGATTGGCAATGAAAGTTTATTGGCAGAACGGAACAGATCAGAAGAACCGAACCGACAGAAAGGTGAACCATTTTTCACAGACAACAACCAGCAATAAGAGCTAAACAAAATTGAATTCAATTTAAATCTCAAAGCAGTTTATTTTAAAATTAAAAATACATAGCAGAAGGGAAAGCCCAGCCCGCGAACAGATTATACAATTTGATAATGATATTATTTTGAAGCGATCCAGATCGGGGAAAGCACAAAGAGATCCCCTGTATCTAATAAGAGAAAAACAACAAATCGCAGTTTGTAGCCGGCGACAAATTATAAAAATAATAATAATACAAATAATAAATAAAAACTTTAACAATTGTTTTGTGTAATTGTAAAGAAATGGAATTTGTTGTGCCCCCCGATGGGCAGGGTTTTTGGTGATTCTATGGTTGATTCTCGGCTTGAAAAACACGCAACCGGGCGAAGCGTAGCATAAATTATATATTTCAATATATAATTTAAGGCTTCTATATATTATTACGTATTTTTGACCACTTGTTCAAATAAATTGAAAGCGAATTAGTTCAATTCAATTGCTTATCGCCTTATATGGCTTTTCAATGATCTTCGAGATGTAGCTCAGAACCGGACAATGTGTTGATAGTCTGGACGGAAAAGATACGAAAAGGGGTCGTTTGTTTTAAAACCAGCTGAAGGATAATGGAAGCAAACAGAAATTATCTCAGAGTTCGTTTCCTGTTCTTTACCTGAGGACACTTAAGATGTCTTAAAAGACAAAAATAATATTTAAATAATGGGAAATGTTTTATTTTATGGGACACCCTGTATAAGATGAACTCTCATAGATGAGTGTATAGCCTGTGGAATTATTATCTGTTAGTCAGTTGAGTTTCAACAGAGCGTCGAGAAGGTTGTATAATGAGGTTACTTTACTTTGCATTGCTGCTACTTTGGTTTTGGAGCCAAAGCGAAGCTAAAGTAAAAGTGTCCTGCAAGGACGAGCAAGGAAATGACGTAGATTGGTGAGTATTTTACCCATTTTCTCACTATAAATGGGTTACGCATTTTAGTAACAAGGGAATAAAACTTTTATTTTATTTCCTATAAGCCCGATTATCATTGAACTTTTCTGAACCCCTGAACCGCTTTAGAACTAATGTTGATAATTCATTATTAATCTTTTGTTTCCGACTACAGGTGGCACTTGTACAAGTTGCCCAAGCACTACCAGCACAATGATTTGGGAAAGGATACCACTGGGCTGCGATACTTGTACTTGACCAGCCAGAGTTACAGTACTTGGCAGCTGTCTGGCAAAAGGATCAACGAAGCGGAATCCCTGCCTGCTCAGACCCTGAATCCCATTAATGCCGATCCTAACCACACCCTGCTGGCCGTCTACAACGATCAGCAGCCGAATGGGACTGTTTTCAGCACCGGAGGACACGCCAAGGGAGTGGTGGCCAGTGACGGAGAGACTGCCATCTGGCTGGTGCACTCGGTGCCAGGATTTCCAACCGTACCCGACTACTCGTACCCCACCACAGGGGAGCAGTACGCCCAGAGCATGCTCTGTGTCACTTTGAAGGCGGAGGACCTAGAGAAGGTGGGCCAGGTGCTGGTCTACAACGAGCCCCACTTCTACTACCAACGGAATCCCTTATTCGCTAGCTCCGACGAGCTCTTCCCGAGCCTGGAACGCGCCTTGCATGAGCAGTGGCGCACGGAGTCACCTTTCCAAAAGGATGTGGAGGTGCGCAGCTTGGACGGCAAGAAGTTCCACCTGTTCGGCAAAAGTGCCCGTGCAAATGTGGAGCTTTATGCTGATGTGGTGGCCCCTGTCCTGGACGTGAGCCTGTTTGTGGAGGCTTGGCGTGATGGCACCGGCAATCTGCCCAACAGCTGCGAAAAGAAGGACAAGATCCTTAATGTGGAGGCCATCGCCAATGAGCAGCTTTCGGTGAACTTTAAGACCACCCAGGATCACTCCAAGTGGGCGGTGTCTCGTCCCACGGGCATCCTCATCTACCGCTGGCGCGTGGGTGGCGGAGACTGGATCTGCGTGGGCGACATCAACCGCCAGCGGGGTCAGCTGAACCGTGGGGGCGGCACGGTGTGCCACAAGAGCGCCAGTGTCTCGAATCTGTATCGCCAGCTTGTGGCTAACTGGGACAAGTGTGCCGAGGAGTAATGGATGCATTAATAAAGTACATATTGTTGAAAAAAAAACCGAATTAAATCGAATAATTAAAAAAATTTTTCATTGCCTTTATTTACCAGAACCCGGGCCTTATTTTCAAAGCATTTTCTTACAAGGAGGTTTTTGAAAAGCGGTAAAATATTTTATACAAAAAGTTCTTGATAATTATTACTTTTTGGGGTATATAGTAAATATTTTTTTCTATTTTTAAACGACGCAATATTTATGTATTTTTCCAATAGTTTAACACATTTTTTTAAACTTTAAACTTTAAAATTAAAGTTAAAGTTTAAGATTTACAAAAATACATGTATAAAATATATGGATTGTTTGAATGTTTTAGATATTTACAAATATTATATGAGAAAATTAAAGAATGTTTAAAAACGTATCTTGTTAAAATTCTCTTTTTTATTTTTATTTATTTTTATTTTAAATTTTAAATTAAGAAACTTCTTCCCAGCCACCTATGTTTCAAGTTGTATTCTAAAAGTATGACCCTTACTCCCAATTCGATACTTAAGTTGGCAACGCAATCGAGTTCCCACCATAGAGGGCGCTATTTCACCTCAGCCATTGGCAACTCAAATCTGAAACAAAAACAAAGCCAAGCCGTAAACGGCAGAAAATTAACACTCTCCGCAAAATCTAAAATATTTGCGGCCTACTTTATAAAACGATAATCCTTTCGGGATGTTTTGCTGCCTACGCACCTGTCTAAATGGAGGACAGCTAAGAAAACCCGTGGCAGCTGCCAGGAGCCATGAACCAGAAGTCCATCTTGATGCAGCGCATATGGGTAAATTTTTAAAATAAAAACAACAGTATAAATATGTTTTGTTAGGAAAATAGTGCGATAAAGTAGCCATAACTGAGAGACTCCATAGATACCGCAATAAAATTCGAAAACATGGAGCCATTTCCGTTTCCTACCAACACACAGAACTTTCTAATACGCTTTGAGAAGTCAATATTATGAAAACATGGTTTTTATGCCCCATAAAATATTATTAAATATTAATATTGGTAAATAATCACCACCTTTTTCCCGCCATAGGTCCAGACGTGATCCTGCTGTCACACCAGCTCCGCGTAACAGGAACTGGAGGTGTCCTGGCCACGGCTCCCTTGGTCCAGTCGAAATCCTACTTCGAGGTCAAAATTCAGCAAGGTGGCAGTTGGTCCGTTGGAGTGGCCACCCGGCAAACGGATCTTAGTAGGAAGTGCGGTGGAGGGGACCGCGAGTCCTGGTGCTTGTGCTCCGACAACGCCACCCGCCACAACGACCAAGAGGAGTTCCAAGTGGTAGTGCCTTCAGCATGCACCACCCAGCCATCAAAGACAGCCAACGGCATCCTCAACAGCAGCGCAGCCAGAGCGGCAGGACTCATCGCCATAGAAGATCTGCAACAGGAGGATCTGCTGATGACTACAGGAGTTGCTCCACCAGAGGATAGCATTGGTGACACCTTGATAACTTCACCGAAACGGGACTATCCAGACGAAGGGGATATTGTGGGTGTGGCGTTTGATCACGTGGAGTTGAATTTCTACTTCAATGGAAAAAATCTGGAGGTTCCCTTCAGGAATGTGCGGGGAGCAGCATTGTTTCCTGTCATCTATGGTGAGTTTGTGAATTTTTGAAATATTTTCAACCTATATTTTGAATCTATCTATTATATTACAGTGGGAAATGGCGCCATTCTGGACATTATCTTGGATAACTTTTCGCACGGTCCTCCGCCCGGCTTTGAGCGTATCCTGCTAGAACAGTCTCTTCTTTAGAAGGTTGCATACAAAAAGGGCCTTAAAAAAAGAAAAGCTTCAGAACAAAATAACATTCAATGAAATACGAAATAGAAAGTGCGTTTTAGGATTATAGGAAGTTCATTTTCGCTTAAAGATTTTTTTAAAAAGAGGTATAAAATAAACCATAAATTCTAGTCAAAAATTTTCAACTTTACCGCATCCAAGTATTTAGAACCTTGTAGTTATAAAGCGCACTGTTCTATTCATTTGAGAACGATTGTATAAAATTTGAAACTTCTCTAGTCCTTGTACTCCCAAATCCAGAATGTGTTGTTTTTATTTAATCGTGTTTTTGCTTTAGTTTTGTAAATTACTTACATAGCCTGACCTTGCGACTGCTTTTGTATTATACACAGATCTGTATATACCTACAGATGTCATTTTTATGGATCTATATAGCTCTATAACCCAATCACTTAGCCATCTCTCACATTCCAATTTACAATGGCCATGGACCAGTCCACTTACGTATTCGAGCACGGAATTACCTAACTAACTTTAAGAAGCATAAGTATCTAAAAAAATTGTATCTACATATATCTACCGCTTTGAAAACTGATTAATCCGCGCGCGGACAATAAATCTATGTTATGTACTTGAAATTATTTGACTGAGTCTTCATAGTTTGCCTTGTCAATGATAAAAGCATTTTAATTATTTTGGATGGACTATTTTTACGAAATTATTTGTAAAGTTTAAGACATGATACATGGCTGGAAAGGGCGAGATCATCCAGATCCACATCGGCCAGGCCGGTGTCCAGATAGCCAACGCCTGTTGGGAGCTCTACTGCCTGGAACATGGCATCTTGGCCAACGGAAGAGTGATGCAAAGGCCCGTTGATGATGCGTTCCTCACCTTTTTCGAGTTCACCAGCACAAACACTAGTGTCCAGCCTCGAATCGTCATGATCGACACCGAGCCCACGGTCATAGGTGATCCTCTCCCATATATTTCTTCTTCGGGTATCACAAGTGTCTTTTTCAGATGAAATCCGCACTGGCGCCTACCGAAATCTTTTCCATCCGGATACCCTTATCACGGGCAAGGACGACAGTGGCAGTAACTTTGCCAGGGGCTATAACCTGATGGCCAGTGAGCTCCTGGATCGCTCCATGAATGCTATTCGACGAGTGGCCGATCGCTGCAGGAATCTCAGAGGCTTCCTGGTTTTCCGAGCCATTGGTGGGGGATCAGGCTCCGGTCTGGGCACTCGAATAATGGAAAAACTCTTGGATGATTTTGGCAGAAAGATGACGGTTGTGGAGTTTCTAGTCTATCCATCGCCTTCGTAAGTGGGAGGTTATTTTTTCGGGTTGGTTTTATTTTTTTCGATACTCAGATATGAATGATAAGAAGGTTATCTTATCTTTTCGATGAGTAATATTTTCAGGGTGTATACATACAATTTTAATAGTTATATACCTAAATAAGTGTATAAAATATTTATTTATGTTTTCCAGAATATCTCCTGTGATCGTAGAGCCGTACAATGCCCTGTTGGCCGCTCACTTCTCCATGGACTGCGCGGATGTTTCCTTTATAGTGGACAACGAGGCCCTGTACGATATTTGTGCCAATACCCTGAATGTTCCCGCTCCCACCTATACGAATCTTAACCGCATCATTGGGCAGGTTGTCTCCGGATTTACAGCATCACTGCGCTTTGGCGGAGGCTCGAGCGTGAGCTTTCAGGAGCTCCAGACAAACTTGGTGCCATACCCGAGGATCCACTACCCCCTGATCAACTACGCACCTCTGGTGCCCATCTCTCACTCCCAGTTCGTCAACATGTCGACGGCTCAGCTGACGGGGCAGTGCTTCCAGATGAGCAACCAGATGGTCAGGTGCAACCCTTCGCACGGCAAGTACATGTCGTGCGTCCTTCTGTATCGCGGGGATATAGCTCCCAACGAGATCAATACGGCGCTGGAGAACATTAAGCGGAACAGGTCGTTTCGCTTCGTGGACTGGTCGCCAACTGGCTTCAAAATAGGAGTCACCGGCATGCCGCCGGTATATGTTCCTGGCGGCGATCTGGCGCCCACCAATCGCGCCTGCGTGGCCATTTCGAACAACACCAACATCCGGATAGCCTGGTGCCGGCTGGTCAACAAGTTCGACAAACTGTACCAGAAGCGGGCCTTCGTCTACCACTACGTGGGTGAGGGACTCGAGGAGGGAAACTTTGCCGAGGCATCGGAAAATATCTGCCAACTCGTCCACGACTATCTGGAGGTGGATGCCTCCGCTCCAACCTCCAATCGCGATTCCGGAGATGACGAAGCCGGAGATGACGACTAGTGGGCTTTGTCCACCCGAAGCCCTTTTTCCTTTCAGCATCTGTGTCGTCCAAAAAAAAATCATTAAATTCCCTGTGGCACATTTTACTTATTATTGTTTCATTTTTTTGTTTGCTTATGATCCTTTGGTAATTGACGTCGAAATTGTTCTCTCGATGACTTTATCAAGCTAAGAAAGAGTTTGAAGAACGGTTCGTAAGAATACTCTACAAAGAATACCCATAATATAGTAATTATTTCTGATAAAAAATATTGAATAGATTTAAAAGAACATAAGCTACAGGAAAGGATTAAAAGTTTGTACTCTGCAAACTCTGATTGAGTTTTATGATTCATCATAATTCCAATACTTTATTAGTTCATCTTTAAAGAGTACTTTAAACTTCGACCAGATTGTAGATACTTACCTTTCATTTTTCTTTTCTTTATTTTTTTCCAAAGCTTTCGTCAGCTCGAAACCGTTGGCCAAATTAAGTATTTATGGTTGGCTAAAACAAATATTGACCCAGCCTGTAATTTGCGTTGCTTGACCCCGGCCCCAAAGAGAAGAAGTCGGGGTCGGGGACAGGGCGGTCTGATGGCCTGATAGGCGTGGCCAGCTGGGCCGATATGGGGTATAATTAAAATGATCGCAGCCCGAGGGTTTAGCACGTACCGAGGCAAAAGTCGCGCTTATCGCGATCGCACCCAGGGCAAGGTCTTCCCGATCCGCCGATCCTCCGATCCGTCGATGCAGCATCTGCGGATGATCTCCAGCCGGCTTCTCTGGGCTTTCCTGAGGTCCCTTAACCCCTCGGTGCCCGATTCAGTTTTCGCTGTGTAACGTGACTTACGCACGCTTAATGCTTAATGCGCGATTATCGATTAAGGGATCTTGGCCAGCACGCAGCAGACCGCTCACTTGGCCATCTTATCAGCTTTTGGTGTGGTCCTTTTGCAGGACCACTGACCGCTGTTATTAAAGGCATTATCATTATGAGATCCCGGTCCCTTTCTGCCAATTCCTTTGTGTGTTAACTGTTGCTAATCTTAAATTGAACTCCGGACGGTTGCTTTTGTTTTTTCAGCGTGAGAACCGCTGCGTGTGGCTCCATCGAATCAGGCTCTATCCTTATTTTTCAGGGGGTGTTAATGAGCTAAAGGAAATGCCTAAGGACTACCTTGGGCCAAAAAGCAGTGAAATGAAGACGTTCTACCGATCGACGTGAACTAATAAAGCAATTCTGCGAGATGGCCGAAAGGAAAAGGTGCGTCAACCGGAGGGGTGGAAATAAAAGAAGTCGCAAGACTGGAGGGATTGGCAGGATGGGGAGGTAGGCAGGACGACCTCTGTGCACCACAACATTTGAAATATCTAGTTAACTCTGGGGCCGCTCTGACCTCCTTTATTTATGCACTAATCCGTGGGAAATGCTGGCCAAGACACCTGGGGCCGATTTATGCCATAAACGAAACGAAACGAACCAAAAAAAAAGAACAGCAACCATTGCAAAAACCCGCACCCGCAACAAAAGACACAGAAATGCAAAAAAAAAGTATAAATATTTATTAAAAAAAGGTCGATAAATTAATGCCCTTTAAATAATTAAATAAATCCATATTTTATGGGAGGTAATGAGTTATAAATACCATAAATTTTTCGGAAATAATCAAACCTAACTATGACATTTAAAAACTTAAATTTTAAATACCAATTGTCTTGTTGCCCAAGAATCTTTTATTTTATTTAATCAACAACAAAAACCTTTATAAAGATATTTCATCTTAAGACAAATCCCCACTGAAAGATAGAGTATACTTAGGAGGTAAAAATATTAAACAACCGTCGAGTGAATTAATAAAGCGCCTTGCGAGGCGGCCACGCATTAAACGACACACTCCACAGAAAAACATTACAACGAATCCAGGCAGGCCGAAAGGCAGGAAGAGCTCTATTCCGAGGACCATATGGCCACATGTGTGCGGCTACGTTTACGGATCCGCAAAATGAATAGATGCCACATGACTGACCACTCCAATGTACTGCACTCCACTTTTGTTGTTGCCCGGTTTTTTTCGCCGAGGGCAAACATTTTGGAATTGCAATTTTCGACTTCATTTCCAGGCTTTGAACGCCTTGGCTGCATTGGCTTTTATTTTATTTTTTATTTATTTTTTTTTTTTTGTTTTGGGAGGAGAGTGTGGCAAGGAGACTTTGAGTTCGAGGCAACACCTACCGAGGCACCGCAACCACCAAATGGGCAAACCAACACAGTTCACTAAGCCATCGGTGGGCGGTTGCAACTGCAGCAGGGAGCAAAGGGAAGTCGAGTTTACACTAAAAGAAATGAGAAGGAATTAGTTGATTTTAGTAGAATTGGTCCAAAAAGACACCCAAATCTTTCAAATGCATTTCTATAAAATATTCTAGAATTGGTAGGAGATATGTTAGGTCAACCCTTATTTCAGACAGTGTAGGTCTACGCAGCAAGTGTTTCGATTTATGTTTTTGCGCCTCGGCCGCCACAGCTAGCTACATGCCACATGCCCCGGCTCTGAATCCGAATCTGGCAGACTCAGATACGGCTGCGGCTGTGGCAGCGGCGTTTTCATTCAAAATGTTTAACCAGACCCGGCACGGTCGGGGCCGGCCAGAAGACCACTTGTTGCTCTTTTATTCATTCAATTTGTCAGTTTTGCACTAGCACAAAACGAAAGCCAGCCCAGTCCAGTCCAGGCCGGGACGGGCGGGTCGGGACCAGACGGGATCTCTTCCCCACTTCGGGCCCCGGCCAGAGTCAAAAGGTTATCGCCACACTTGCTGCATTTATAGTGCCCCATCATGCGGCATGTGATCATCACGGAGATGATAATGACGCTGATCGTGGTCTATGCTCTGGTGCTCCTCTGGTCATGTTTACATGGCAGAATTATTAGTGGTAATATTTGTGAAATATTTGTTTTCTAATCTGTAAACACCAATCATATTAGCAATTTGAATATGACAGCGCCGGCTCCAAACAGTAACAGGCCTTGTTGTTGTGTTATTTGAGCTTTTCGTGAAGGGTATTTACATTTTTTGGCAGTAGTTTGAATACATTTCTTATAAACTGATAAAGGGGTATAAGCTCTAGGGTCAAAAAAGTAGATCAAGAGCACCCTATGATTTTGTTTGTTAGAATAAACCATTTTTATGTTCTAGTAACAAAGAATGTTCTTACAGAGAACTTCTCTTCTTAAACTATTTAAATTAATATACATTGAAATTAAAAGACATCTTAATAAAATAAGATTTAGATGAAAGGGTATTTGGTTTTGTGGTTCGGCCTGATGCCACAAATCTTTATGCCCCATGTTGCATTTGTGGTCAACGGTCAGTGGCTTGTGGCTAGTATTTTGGTTATTATGTTGGCCTGGCCGATGGGCTGGCACCGATGGGTGGGTGGGTAGGTGGGGCGTGAGTTATTATCTATTCAATTGTTGCACTTTGCTGCTTCCTATTGCCTTGGGAGACGGCAATGAAACCTCCCCCTGAATCACTCTTCCCTCTGGAATTTCTGCTTTGCAGTTATGAGTATAGTGCCATGAAATTTATGATAAATGCCATGATCTCCGCGGCTTCGACGGCTCGAATTCGACTCGGCTCGTTAGCCGTCGCTCGAGCATCGTTTACAACACTTTAAGAGGATTTTACAGCCTCGACTCCATTGGCAGCCATTAGCGAGGCAATTGACATACTCCTTGACAGTCGGACTGAGAGGAGCTCTAAGTGCACGAAATTTATCATTGACGATGGATCGGAGGGGGCGTTTGCCAAAAATGGCACAAATAACGACATAATTTGGCCACAGATCTGGCCAGCATCGGATATCAGCAGCAGCAGCAGCTTCAGACTGCATTTGAGGCAAAATGCCAGCCAACTTGCAGCTTGCAACTTGAAACAAAAAAATAAAACGACAATCGACATATGCAAATTGACTGTGAAACGCAGACGACGCACAGCCAAAAATGGTGTGCAAATCGTTAAGCCACTTTGTAGATACACTCTGCGAAAAATGGCAAGATTTTGTGGCTAAAAAAATTTGGCTAATATTAATACAAGAGAGTTCTTTTCGCCAGTGTTTTTACAATCGTGAATGGCAGAGCTGGAACATAAATAATTCAATTAGTTAGAGTAGAAATTAGCGAGCAACATAACATTTCGTATAAAGATTTGCCAATCTGACAGTCTTTGATCTCTCGGGCAGATGACATCATCCGGCGGACAGGCAAACGGTTAGATCAAATAGATTTTTAACAGCCGGACTAAATGGCTAAATGCTTTATTGGCTATCAGCTGACATATTCGAACTGCAAAGGCCATGATTGAACTTGAAATTCCATATTAAGTGCATTTTGGAATAGAATCGAGCGGCGAAACTGAGTCGGGTCTATTGTGGAGTTCGGGGCTGGCATGGTAATTACTCTGGCTAAAAAGTCTCAGCCCCTCGGACGGCAGTGGATTGCAATTTGAGCAACAAAAAAGTCAAATTCTGCACTGAACGCAATTAATCAAGCGCCTTGGGTCGTGCCTGGCCAAATGTTTTCCACTCCTAATGATGCCGTGGTCATATACTCGGTGCCCCATTGTGCCCGGCCTCCTTTCCCCTCCTGGCAGCCCCACCGGTTGCGCAAATATGGCCTGGGTCGAAGTTCAAGCCGACCGCAAACTGTGCTTAATGTCTCACTTATGGCCAAGTCTGTAAGCCAAAAAGCCAAGCCTCTCCAGTTGCCGTTGCGTGAGAATGTTTGCGGCGGAGCGTTTGTCAAGCTCTAATTTGTGGCAACTCGGAGTCACGTGTCTCCCGGACCAAGTCAATATCTTGATGGATCGACCGGCCGGATATCGCGATTGGTGAGTCTGGCATTATATGGCCTGATAATTTGGCTTAAATGCGTGGCCAAGACCACTCAACGGCCACAGGTAATCGCTGAGTAAAATAATTATATTTTTTATTTATCTATAGACTTGGAGATACAAGGTATTCAGAATAATATTGGAGATATACTTGCATTTTTTTTAAGCCCCATTTTAGAGATCCTGACTAAAAAAAGGATAACAGAAAAGT